ATTCGGATAGACGTTTTGTTGCTATGGATGGCATCGCATTTCGTTTGTAAGTAATTTTATACTTAATTTATTAAAATAGTTCTGGAAAAAACTCTTAAATTTTGTGTGGGTCAACTTTCTAAGGAGAGGCCTATGTCCAGCAGTAATTTAATATAATCTAACAAACTACAGTTTGTTACTATACATTACGGTACGTAGTGTTTTAAATATCGTACTTATCTACTCATTACAAACATATCCTACACTAAAAATGGTAAAATAAACCCTTTTAAAAAAAAAGTTGAACCGACTTCAAACAACACCGACAAAGAGCACTAAAAATTAAAAAATAATTACAAATCTAAGTAAAAACCTATAATAAGTACCCTCAATGTAACAGGTAACATTATAATACCAATAGTCCCTTCTAATCTTCAAACATCTTCAAACAGATGTTTGAAGTCGCTGCCAAGCTCGATGCACAATAAGTAATACTGGTCTATGTCAGCTGTATATTAGCACAATGAAAAATTAAGAATTCAAAATAATTCTAATGAAACATCGAAGATTTTGTTAATTAATAAAGACCAACCAGATAAATTACGTGCGCAAACTTATCAACTACTTATTAAAGCATTCAAAATAATAATATAATTGGAGATGTGCGTCCACTTTAGCTCTTTCAACATGTTTTGCGCAGCATGAAGACTGTTGCAGCTGCCGCGCTACATTCTACCATGCCTATCAAGCACCTATTTGGCTTGGCACCGACTTCAAACAGATTAGAAGGGACTATTGGTATTATAATGTTACCTGTTACATTGAGGGTACTTATTATAGGTTTTTACTTAGATTTGTAATTATTTTTTAATTTTTAGTGCTCTTTGTCGGTGTTGTTTGAAGTCGGTTCAACTTTTTTTTTAAAAGGGTTTATTAAATTATATTGATTTCCAGTGGGCATGATTATGTATTCATGACCCATGGTATGTACTCGGGTTAGCATTACACTTCCGAAGATAAGAAAACGCATAGTGCCAAGAAAGTGACTTGTAAAAAAAACTTACTTTTTTTTGTTGTGTACTTCACATGGAGTAATATCGTTAATATTTTAAGTTAAAATATATTTTTAATTGAAAAATTACTTATTGGATTTAGGATTATTCAATAAAAGTGAGGCTAGTACTAGGAGAGATATTGGCACATATTAACATATTTATACTTTTCAGATATAACTTATATTTACACTAAGTTATGGTTTGACAGCTGTTTTTTAGCTGTGTTAGAAGATACCTTATTATTTTACTCTTTTATGTTTATCGAGCCCGACTGCTAGGCTTATCATACTCATCGACCACTAACCTAAATAGATAGATAGATAAATAGATGCCCAGATAATCGTATATCTATTCATAGTATTTTGCAGCAACAGAAAAAGGATATAATAAACAATAAAGTAAGACAGATCTAGTTAATAGTAGTTTGACCTCTTTGACCCTTGGCAAATTTTAAAAAATTACAGGAAATAATGTAAAAATCACATTTTTTCCACCCATTCAATTAAAGTGTTCCTTCCTGTGACTTCTAGCAATAGCGGTCTGAGATATATTTCTCAGAAAATAGTCGCTTTGAGAATTCGTCGCAATGAATTGATCCAGTTAATCAAACTCAGACACTAAAATTGGCTTACGTTTAATTTATTTACTGTTTCGTTTTATTCAAATGCAAAAGTACAAACCAAAGTATAAAGAGGAAACATTTATATAACTCTGATCCTCAACAATTCAAACAACTCTGCAATGGTAAAAGTTTTATAGCAATGTACATTCATAGCATGGAACGACTGCACGAGTCTTTGAAGGCATTGGACCAAACTATGCAAGATCTGCGGAACTATCACAATCGATTTGGCTCTGACCTTCGATCAGTTACTATTGTTGATCGAAGTCCTCAATTTTGTCTAGAAAGCAACTTATACCTATAATATCCATAATAATTAATATTTTTAATATATTTTTGTTTAAATTACATATTTATAACTGTACCGTATTACAAAGTTGTGTTGTTGGTGTACCCATCACTAGAACTGATAAGTTTGTGGGACTACCACAGTTCAATAGCTTTTAATATTACGACATCTATCTGTCTGTTCAGAGAGTTATGAATGGAATTTACACACAATTTATGAATTTAAACTTTATTTGGCAATTGAAGATAGACGAAACATGTTATTTTGTCAAAGATCGTAATGCAGTATCATTATCAGTGACGCGTGAGCAGATTTTTTTTAAGTAAAAGAAATATATAATGTGCTTAACATAAAAAGAACTGTGTCAGTAAGTACGAGTTTACACATACTTAAACAATTTAAACAATTCCTTAATTCTAAAGAGATGTTTAAGGTTGACATCTTGTATTTATTGTACGTATCGGCCACTATTTCTTTATTTTCATTTTCTTATACCTAGGAATATTGAGGCTAGTGCGTGTACACAAAAATGCAGTTGCTACAACCGCAGCTGTAGTGGAGTTTACTCTATAAGTCGTAGTAATAGACCAGGGTTATCCAGTCATTGGCACTATATGGTGCAAGTATGGTGTGAGCGGAAGCTCTGATCGCCCAGAATAAGGCGCCCTTTTGCAGGTGCTAACCTTCAGAGGGTGGTTGCGGATTTCTCCCCCAACAGATTTAAAGGCAGAAATAATAATATAATAATATTCTACCACGGAGGTGGTCCAGCTGGTCATCGTCTAGAGGACAGGGTAGCAGCACGGGGCCCTTTCCTTCCGACTGACGCAGATCTTTTCTGGGCACGTCTGCTTAGGGAGGTACCAGCAGTCGATCGCTAGGAGTGAATTCAGTTGCGCCTGTCACCACTGCAGTGCAGTTTGAACTCGGCTCAGCACACACTGGGCAACCTAGCGTCGGGCGCTCATTACAGTCATTGGAGAGGATTTCTCGCTACCAGCCGTTACACGCTCCATGGCTGACACGCCTTCCAGCGCCTCATGCCGCCCTGCAGGTGGTGCCCGCGCTTTTTAATGGCAGGCGCTAGCCGCTGTCACCGTCTCTTGGCGGGGTGCTTTAAGATGCACCGTGAGGATCCGGGGTGGGACTCGAGGTGTCTCCGCACAAATCTGAGGCCTTGTCCTCCCATGAGCCTCGGAGGGGGCCAACTGAGGGATCTAGTCTCATAGTAGGAGGCATTCGCATCGACATCTAGCCCTCGATGAGGTATCTGAGGCTTTATCTACTAGGTCTCGATCGTGGGACCAGAAATCCTAAATTTTTCGGGTGAGACCCGCTCTGGAGGCTCGAGAGGAAACACGGGTCTCTCTCATTCCGGCTGATGCAAGAGATCACCTATGTCTGGTCAAGGAACCACGTAACGCCTAGATGCTACCATTGCGATGCCACACCACACGCTGCTAGAATACCCGGCGTGGCGAGGGTAGAACAGAGGCGTGGCCTAGTGACCGCCACCGGAGTGAGGATTCTCTAGCTCGGTATCATGATTGCGGCCATGGTACGGAGCGATGGCGCGTGGAACGCCGCAACCTGCTTCTGCGAGCAAGTTAAGAGACGAGAGTTCAGACAAAACTGTTAACAAGTCATTATACTCATTACACATACAAACGATCACAGTTTTTAGACCTTACCAGAAGCGTGTTTGAAGGCACTTAATTATATTAACGAGAAATGAGGTGATTTCGCTGCAATGATGTCACGCACGTTTCGACCTTAAACGAAGGTTACACTAGCAGTAGTAATAGACTAAGGTAATCTTTTAGTGTGTAAAACGAAGGGATTGATTCAAGTGACTGCACGGATGGCGTAGTGGTTCAAGCGGTCCCAACGCCGCTCACTACTTCGCTAAGTGTTGTGGGTCCGATCCCCACATATGACGACACTTTCTGTGATCCACAAATTGTTGTCCTGAGTCTGGGTGTTCTTTGTGTCCGTTTCATGTATGTTTGTAAAGTTCCCCGCGACACTGGATATATTTCTAATGCGGGAGGTGTCTTTAAAAAAAAGGAAGGTAACATTCTTCACTGACTGTTTTTAAATAAGTTTTTGGATATTTTTAGATAGACTTTTTAAATATTGTAATAGATTCAGGTAATGTTCTCCAAATCTAATTTTAATAATACCTTTATGTTATTTTAGGGCTATATTATTATAACTGCTTATGCAACGTTTAAAGCTGTTCATAATAGAAGAATCAAAAGCAATTACAATATACAATATATAGATAGTATAAAATATATAAGTAGATACTTAACCAAACACAAATTTCTAATCAATAGGTTTTTACCGAAGTACATTAAATTTGATTCACAAGTTTAAAACAAGGTTAAGTAATTATCAACGAACTAATTAGGTGATGATAAGACACGATTGTGTAGCACTAATATGATTCTATTCTTTTTTGTTTAAAAACCACGAAGGTTGCTATTGAAATGTAAATAAATTCACTTCAATAAGAAACTGACTTTTTATAATACAATTTAGACTAGCTTCCTTTTTTTTCCTTTTTCCTTCATTAAAATTCAGGGTAGAAGATTCTACTTACATAAGTATTTTGAATTCAAATTAAAGCGGTTAGTTGTACCCAAGTCTTTTGCGAAATTCATGAAGAATAAGCCGTTTAAATAAACCGGTAATTTACTCATTTCGAACATGTATTTATTTTAGACAAACCTTGCTTTTTATTTTTTTCTTGAAGTACTTTATTGAAGCATAACTTGATATCTGCGAGTTAATGTTGAGCCCACTTAAAGTTCTAAGCAATACATGTTGAACACTTGGCTAATAAAAAGTCTAAATTAACACCTTCAGAGAAAACCGGCTGAGGTCGATGCACAAACTTGCACGATCATAGTGATACTAGTGGAAGAAACAAAAACCTTTCACCCGAGAAATAACCATTATTAATTCATAGTTTTGTTTGTTTGTTAACAATTTTTGACTTGATAATTGTTATTTAATTTCGTTATTATTTGTCAGCATTACTGGCTGAAAAATGACGGTGCGACCGCTGTCGGCTGCCTTGGTGAAGAAGGCTGAAAAAGAAATCAATGAGGATCCTCGAAGAGTAGCATCTGATATCATAGCTATTAATGACTGGCTTACAAAACAGTCACATTTAGAATCTGTTCGTCCATGTAAGTCAAGATATTATTGCTTTAAAAAATACTGTAGCCCACATTTTTCTTTAACATATGGAATGCAGCTGCTTTCTTGTTTGATTAGAGAAGACCACTTGCGTGAACACGCGGAAAACCTCCAGATCAAAACTTGTCAGACTTGTCCTGGTTTTTCATGTGCGTTGGTGTTGCAGCTTTTATAAGTAGGTAACTATCGGTAATAACTTGAAATCAGATGAATTAGTGGGGTTTTAGTGTTACACCAATAAAACATATTATTAAAATAATAAAGTTAGTAAATCTAATAAAAAATTATAAACATAATATATTATCATGAACAACGTGGTATACTAAAAATATATGAGAACGCCATCTATACAAAGTTTATAAAACTTGTCGTATTGGTAGAACTCCGAACGAAACCTTGACATGAACCTTAAAATGAATGGATAAAATTAGTTCAAATTCTACCACAAGTTGTCATCTCGAGAATTTAGTACCTACACTTTGCGGTAGATGCCACTACAAGGATATGTCGTTTCTTTCTTTAAATATTCCTTTCTCTTTGTACGTAACTTACATGAATAGGAATTCAAGACCACTGTATTATTTTTGACCACATGTTATTATGTTTTACAGCGGACCAATGGCTTATTGCATTTCTGCGTGGTTCCAAATTTAGTCTTGAAAGATGTAAAGAGAAAATGGAAATGTATTACACTTTCAAAACCATAGTACCCGAATTCTTCGAGAATAGAGATCCCTATGAGCCTAGAATTCAAGAAATACTGAAACTTGGGTAAGAAAATAGTTTCGCTTCGACATCTAGGTAATTAAATAATTCTAAATAACGAGACCGGAACGAGGGTCACTTCTAATAGAAATGTGATTTTTTAAATGTTTGTTTCAATGCATGTGTGTGTGTGTGTGTTTTTTAATTGCATTATTTGCTTGTAAATTTTAACTACGGGTTCTTTGTTTATTCAACGATTGCAATTTATCACATAAGTTTATATGTACAAGTAAATATGAAAGGACCGTTAATATCAATTAACCAGCCTTAATTTCCAAAGTACATGATTTCAACTGGACTTATACTGGCAAGCGTATAAGAATAACATTCTTTTTTATCGTTATTTGTATTTGATTCAGTATGTGTATTATTGCAGAAACTGATTTAAGTAACACTGAAATACAAAAAGTAATGCATCAATTTCCTGAAACTATTTTGTGCAATTCTACAAAGAAACAAAAATCATGTTTAACTATTAACTAGAGCTAAAGTAACGAATGAAATTAGTCATGCTGACCTCGTTCTCCTCTATTAACCAACAAAACTAATAAAATAAAATACATAAAATCGTATGAAAGAATAATAGGCACATGAAAGAAATATAAATAAACTATGTTTCTAAACAAATAATAATGTATAAACAATGTTTAAAAAGAAAACTTTACTATACTATTTTATTTACTTGTAAGAAGGCGAGGAAACCAATGTTTCTTCAATTTGATAAAAACTTGATACTTTTATAAATTTTTCAGAGCCTTTTTACCACTGAGAAACTGCCCAAGTGTAGATTCTCCCCGTACAAATATAATGCGGTTAGGTGTTTTTGACCCGTCAAAGTATCACTTAGTGGATTTAATCAAAGTGTCTCTCATGGTGACAGACATATTGATGCTGGAAGACGACAATTTCACTGTTTCTGGTGAGGTAAGATCAATGCGCTTTGTACGATATAAATGACATGTGTTAGAAATTATTCATGCGCTCTCTTACTTTCTTTTTGTATGTCTTATAAACTGGTGAAGGTTGGCAGGTGCTAAAACTCGAGAGTAACGTCTCAACATTTTAATATTTAGGTAAGATTAATTACGCAGACACAGAAAACATTTTAGCAAATTATATAATTTTAACTGAAATTAGGTTATTAAACAGTAAGTATTATATATTTGTGTATACAAACCAGTCTGCAGTAATTTACATTATCAATCTACTAGAACCTTAACATACGTATGAACGTCCTGTAACTAACATAGTCAAGCGACTGCCTGAGACACAGGTCTCACACCTAGCTCCGGCCGTTTGTAAAATAACTTGTAATCCTGCACATTTAAGAATAGTTATATACTAGTTTTATGTTACCTTTAGTAACAAACTTTATATAAGAATCTAATGAGAATAAAATGAAAATCATAAACAAAATGTAACCAAGACTTTATTATGCTTCTGCAATTTTTTAATTTTAATAAAACCTCCTTTCTAAAGAGAGTCTATGTCCACAGGTGGAATATCATAGGCTGATGATATGTTGTGAAGTGTTCACATTTTTCAGGATGTTATAGTGGATATGGAAGGTGTAGGAATAGCTGTGTTGAGTCAATGGACACCTGCTTTGGCGAAGAAGGCAATATACTGCTTCGAGAAGGCTCTTCCAGTGAGAGTCAAGAGCAATCACATCTTGAATACTCCATCGGGATTCGAAACGGCTTATTCTATTTTCAAGTCATTTTTAGGAGAGAAATTAAAACAGAGAGTAAGTTTATACCTACCTGATTCTGTTTTTAGATGATCTTGATGAAATATATTTTTTTTTGTTCTACTAAGGAAGTAAACGAGATATATCACAGTAAACTAGAAATATACCTACACTCATATCAGATTGTCTATTTACAAAGAAATATAAGGTTAGATATTTTCTACTGTTGCTATAAAAAGTTACTTTCTATTGTTTATAAAGTAATATTTTCAAAATTTATTAAATTTGGAAAATAAAACAATATTATCGGTGCTGTCATAAAGTCTATACAGATATGAGAGTTTATATTTAGCAAGAACACTGATGATAATTAAAAGAAAATATTTATGTAAATAACATAAGCACATTTGGTTGGATCTTGCGTGTATTTCGTTGACCCATTGATGGCCGAGGACTGCCTCTTGCTTAGCCACCCGTCTTAAAACTTAAAACGTGAACCTCATGAACCTGTCCCGCTTTTAAAAACTGATGCAGTCAGTTTAAAGTGTAGCATAGTGCCTGTTATAAACAATTCTGCAATACACGTCGTGACGACTTTTGCTTTCTGGCTCGCTTGTTATTTCACCAAAATCGCTCCAGGCAGTGCCACAACAGTAACACCGATGCATAATGACGATTAATCTCCTAATAAGTAGTCCCCCAGCAGATGGAAACCAGCCGGCATCTCAGAAATGCACACGTGAAAAAAACCGTAATTCGTAATAAATATCACCCACTCGATAACATTATTTACATCCTACCTAACGTAGGTAATAAAAGGAAATATTTTAAACTTGAGCTAGAAGGTAATTGCAATAAAAGAACACTGTCGCTATCATGTATATCTATGTATATCTATATTTAAACTAGCCACTAATTTTCAATCTACAAAAAGACAAAAAAGATAAGAGGAATACACCTTTTTGGTGTAGGTAAATATATAGTACCTATAAAGTGATAAATTATTTTCTTTTCACTTGATATTGCTTAATTAAATGAAACTAATCGTAGTGTGCTGCATTTTCGAATAATCACTAAGTGTAATCTTGCCTTGGAATAATAAGCAACTGTTGTTAGGGAAAACTGTTTTCTTGTTAAAGAAAAGATATAGATGTCTCATAATCAGCAATAAAATATTTAAAGCTTTTATTTTATTCTGATTACAGATAAAAGTACACAATAAAAACTACAGCTCCATGTATAAGACTATACCTAAATCTATTCTTCCAATCGAATATGGTGGCAGTGATGGCAGTGTGCAAGAACTGACAGGTAAATGAGAATACACAGCACCATACGTCACGTTTCACATCTTCATCGTTTAGGAGCATTACTGCTTCCCTTAATCAGGTCAATAGTGAGTGTAGTGTAATGAGCACGTTCACTGTTTTTGTAGGTTTTGTGTATTTGATAGGTTATGTGTACTGATAGTTTGCTGTACTCCAGAAACTAAATCACCATGACGGTGGGTTACTGCTTTAGTCGAGTAATAAGTCATAAATATAAAAGTATTGTAAAAAACATTTAGGATTAGATCGAAAAGTGAGAACTCAACACAAACTTATACACAAAAAAAAAACATGATTGATGGTGAAGATGCTGGCTCTTGCAACACAGTTTATACTAGCGCAAGAGTCGTTGAATTCCAATACTCTTAGGGTTTGTATAGTGAGATAAATAAATAAATTAATATAATCAATATCAAAAAACCGAAATCATAAAAATAAAAACAAGCTATATGATTGATTTCAATTTTATAGATAAGTTTGGGTATTATTTTGTTGTTTTTTTAATTTTATCATTTTTTTCGCAGCCGATCAGTTCGTTATTTTTCTAAGTCAGAATATAGTACACTTTTCATCACCTTTTACGACATATTGCTTTTCCCGTAACATTGGCGTTAATGGTTGAAGATTTCTCCAGGTTCAATATGTGCAGTGTAACGAGCATAAATTGCTTAGCAATAATATTAAAGTGATCCTTTCGTAACCTACGAACTCCTCGAACCTAGACTTTATATATATATATATATTTTTTTTTATTAAATAGGTTGTAGAATCGTTCGTATCTACGATCGCGGGTAAAGTTAATTGGAGCTTTTAAATAACACTCTTTATAGTAGATATAAGTTACATATATTGTTCACAAGCACAGGAAGAGTAAACACAAGCATAGGCAGAAAGCTAACAAGATAAGCACAGAAAGGAAGCGGGAAATTACAATAAAAAATACTAGGATTCGCGTCGTAGCCGTTTAACGGTCGTCCGGTCGCGCGCGCGCAGCCTCTCGGCGTCAGTATCGTGTAACGACTGGCGAGGCAGGGAAATCCGATGGCGCACGATTCGATGCCGAGCGCCTCCGTAACCGTCGTCGCTGGGCGTGGCACTTGCCGGCCGCATAACGGTATTCTTCAACCGACTTCGTTTAAAGGCGTATGTGCAAATTGTGTGATTGCCACATCAGCCTCCCCGGAGACCGTTACGGTCGATAAAAATCGGGAAAACGTACCCGGCGGCCAGATCGCGTTTTCTGTGGGGAACTGGAAATATCTGGTGACGGATCACGCAACTGCAACGCAGAGTCGCTGAGCAAGTACGCCGGTTTCAGCCTATCAATCGACACTGTGACAGGTTTTCCTTTCACATCTATCTTGTAGTATTTGTCACCACGTTCCAGAACGGTGTAGGGCCCAGTATAAGGGGCCTGCAACGGCTTGCGGACAGCGTCTTTACGAAGGAAAACTTGACGTGAAGATGACAAATGCTTACTCACGAAGACTGGAGAAGTACCATGGTGCATCACAGGTGTGGGCCTAATCTTGCGAATATTGGCTCTTAGACGTGAAAGGAAGTCAGCGTGGTCTACGACTTCTATGGGAGTGCTGTAGAAAAATGTTCCTGGCAATCGCAGCGTCTCTCCATACACTAACTCTGCTGATGACGAGCCAATGTCTTCTTTCCATGCTGACCGTATTCCTAGAAGCACCCATGGGAGAACCTCATACCAATCGTCGTTGGCATGGCACGTAATCGCCGATTTTAGCTGACGATGAAATCTCTCAACCATTCCATTGGCAGCAGGATGGTAAGCTGTTGTTTGAAGATGGTTTGACCCGATCAACCTAGACAGTTCTCTGAACAAATGTGCCTCAAACTGCTTACCTCTGTCCGTTGTAACTTTTTCTGGACAACCAAAGCGTGATATCCAGCCAGTGACAAAGGCAGTCGCCACTGTGTCAGCTTTGATGTCACGAAGCGGCATAACCTCTGGCCAACGTGTAAATCTGTCCACGGCTGTGAGACAGTATCTATAATCGTTTGACGTTGGCAGGGGTCCTATAAGGTCTATGTGTACATGGCTGAATCTGTTCGACGGGGGAACAAACGCATGCACTGGAGATCGGGTGTGCCGAGTAATTTTCGAACGCTGGCACGGGATACAGCTGCGCGCCCAACTGCTGCAGTCCTTCTTAATGTTAGGCCACACATACTTTTGAGTCATCAGTCTCACTGTCGCCTTGACTCCTGGATGACTTAATCCGTGAACGCTGTCGAAAGCTTGTTGACGGAACTGTGGTGTCAGATATAGTCGAGGTGACGGGTTGGAAACATCGCAGTATAAACTCTCACCTGAGCCAGAAATGTCCATCTTCTGGAGGTCTAGTGAGGAGTCGCTTTGTAGGAGTTGCTGAAGTTCCACGTCATGTTTTTGCGAGGATGCTAAGGCACGCATGTCTAGCGCGCTTGTAATTGCTTCTGTGCGAGAAAGAGCATCCGCTACGACGTTGTTATCACCTGAAACATGTTGTATATCTGTCGTGAATTGTGAGACAAAATCAAAATAGCGGAACTGGCGCGGAGAACAATTTTCTGAAGCCCTCTTGAACGCTGCTACTATTGGCTTGTGGTCTGTGAAGACGGTGAAAGCTTTACCTTCCACCATATGTCTAAAATATTTCACCGCTTCGTAAATAGCCAACAATTCACGGTCGAAAGAGCTATACTTTCTTTGTGCCGTGCTTAGCTTCTTCGAGAAGAATCCCAGAGGCTGCAACCCTTTATTTGTATCCTGCTGTAATACGGCGCCGATAGCGTTATCTGAGGCGTCCGTACTGATTATCAAAGCTGCCGATGAGTCTGGATGAACCAAAAGTGTAGCCTCGGCTAAGCTTCTTTTACAGGCGGTGAATGCTTCTTGCAGTTCGGGTGACCAAATAATAGGGGTGCTAGGTTTTTTAGCTGGGCCAGACAAAACATTGTTTAGTGGAGCTTGAATCTTTGCAGCTTTCGGTACGAAACGTCTATAAAAGTTAACCATACCTAGGAATCTGCGAAGCTCTCTGATGGTCTTCGGCTGCGGGAACATCTTGATTGCCTCTACCTTCTGCGGAAGTGGTTTGGTACCTCCAGATGATACTGTATACCCCAGGAATTCTACTTCAGACTCACCAAACACGCACTTTGACGTATTTATCACAACTCCGTGGTCTTCCAGGCGCTGAAAAACTTGTCTGATGTGCTCCAGGTGTTCTGCGTCGCTCTGGGAAGCCACAAGAATGTCATCTAAGTAGGGATAACAGAACTCTAGGTCTCGCAAGATCTCATCCATAAATCTTTGGAATGTTTGAGCTGCGTTACGAAGTCCAAAGCTCATAAAAGGGAACTCGAACATTCCAAATGGTGTCGTAATAGCGGTTTTGGGCACGTCGTCAGGATTTAAAGGAATCTGATTATACGCGCGGATCAAATCTATTTTGCTAAAGACGGTACATCGAAAAAGATTGTGAGCAAAATCACCTATGTGCCGCACTGGATATCGGTCGGGTACGGTACGAGCGTTTAGTGCGCGGTAGTCGCCGCATGGTCTCCATTCGTTGTTCTTCTTCGGTACCAGGTGTAATGCTGATGACCATGGACTGTCGGACCTTCTCGCTATACCTGTTCTTACCATATCTTCGAACTCCCGGATTGCAATTCGGAGTCGATCTGGTGCTAACCGCCGTGGACGACAGAATACGGGTGGCCCGGGTGTGGTGCGTATGTAGTGGAGCGTATTGTGCTTGATCTTGCGCGAAGACAGGTCCCCAGCTGGGCGTGTGATATCTGGGAACTGCAAGAGTAGCTCATGATAGCGTGAGGTACCTGCGACAGATTTAATGTGGCACAAGGCGGTACGTGCAGGCTGAGCGTAAGCACTGAGCGACGTTACATTGTCTATTAAGCGGTTGTGTCTAGCATCTACTAATAAATTATAGTGCGACAGAAAGTCAATGCCTATTATTGGTTTCGTAACGTCCGCTATAACGAAACGCCACAAAAATGCACGCCTGAGTCCAAAGTCCAATGACAGGTTTACCCACCCAAACGTATTTATCGTGGAACCATTAGCTGCGTACAGTTTATAGTCTGAATTCACACGCTGTCTATTTGGAATGCACTTGATAGGATAAACGCAAAGATCAGAACCGGTATCTATTAAATATTGGATCTTAGTCTTACGGTCAGTCACAAAAACACGGCCACCTGAGACACTATTGCAGTCACGCGTTGCCGCCTTCACTGACTGCTCGACCCGTTTCCCTGACGGAAGGAACATGGATCACGGCACTTTGTAGATTTCTTCCCAAACCGTTGATGGTACCAGCAAAATCCCGAGCCAGCATTAGAGCGGCTTCGGGACCGTCGACGCCAGCCTGGAGACTGCGCTCGACTCCTCGAGCGCGAACGGGAAACAGCTGACAGCTCGGCCACCTGTCGCGACAAGTCGTCGATGCGACGGGTGAGCTGTTCTATCACAGTCGTCGGGCACGATGCTGCCGGTGAGGGAATCCCTGTAGACACCGCGGTTACCTGATTCTGAGGCTGGAGAGAAATCTCATGTATTTTATCCACTATTTGGGCGACTGTATCCAAGGGGAGATCCACTTGCGCAGCTATAATCGCTTGGATCTGGCTAGGTAAGCGACTTGTCCACAGCGATCGGATGAAGTCATCGGGTACTTCCGCACCAGCCAGGCTACGAAGGTGCCGAAGGAATTGGGACGGCTTCCTGTCCCCCAGCTCTTCATGTGTAAGTAACTGCCTCACACGTTGTTCTTGCGAAGCCGATAATCGCGAGATCAACTCCGCTTTGATCTTTTCATATTTATTTTCGGGGGGTGGATTAGTTATTACGTCTTTAACTTCACACACGTATTTATAGTCCAAGTTAGCTATGACGTGGTAAAATTTTGTGGCATCTGCTGTTACATTAGACAACGCGAACTGACCCTCTAATTGAACAAACCATAGTGCCGGTTCGTTTGGCCAAAATGGTGGTACTTTAACACCAACACGACATAGTTCGCTTGGAACGTCCTTTACGCCGGTAGTAGGCATCGTCGCGGTTATTATACGTACGCACGACTTTATACAATTATCACTGCACTTAGAAATGTTCGCACGTCGGGGAAACCACTGTAGAATCGTTCGTATCTACGATCGCGGGTAAAGTTAATTGGAGCTTTTAAATAACACTCTTTATAGTAGATATAAGTTACATATATTGTTCACAAGCACAGGAAGAGTAAACACAAGCATAGGCAGAAAGCTAACAAGATAAGCACAGAAAGGAAGCGGGAAATTACAATAAAAAATACTAGGATTCGCGTCGTAGCCGTTTAACGGTCGTCCGGTCGCGCGCGCGCAGCCTCTCGGCGTCAGTATCGTGTAACGACTGGCGAGGCAGGGAAATCCGATGGCGCACGATTCGATGCCGAGCGCCTCCGTAACCGTCGTCGCTGGGCGTGGCACTTGCCGGCCGCATAACGGTATTCTTCAACCGACTTCGTTTAAAGGCGTATGTGCAAATTGTGTGATTGCCACAAGGTAATTACACCAATTCACACACGGCCATCTGATCGCCAACTAGGCCGAGCCTGTTATGGTAACCAGACTGCTGATGAACATACTTACTTGTATACCATATCCTAAACGTAACTATTTTCAAGATATTGCACTTTTAAGATTTTTATAAAAATTGGCGAAATTTGGTCTAAAACAATTTTTTGGGAACTTATATCCTTAATTTTCTAATTTTTTTTACTGATTTTGTGTAGTTAATACATTGTTTTACAATTTATTACCAAACCCTTTAACCCATTACCAAAATTATAGTTAACTTAACAAACTGGACCGAAGTAGATGGTTTAAAATAGGAAAAAGAAATACATTTATAAAAAATATCTTCAAGAAATAGTTAAACAATAATCATTTTTTTATTATTTTAATTGTTTTTTTAAAAGGTTTACTAGCAAACGAAATTACTAGTTTTCCCGTTAACCCCTCCCACTAAGCTAAATTGCTGGTGTTAGGAGTGGTTTCACGTCGGTAGGACTCGAACCCACGACCTCTTGATCGCAAGTCCAGTGCCTTAACCACTAGACTACCGCCGCTTCTATGACGGTTAAGTTGCACATTTGGTAAAAAACATGTACGTATTGTCAGCTATCTAACAAGGTATAAAATTGTAAATTCCTCGTAGTATCCACTTTCCATTCCACAACTCATAGAAAAAAATAGTGTATAACCTAGTATTACCCAGTAAAAAACTATGCTTGTATTTTTGGTCTCTTTGCTTTTCAATTCGTGACTAACTATTACTTACTGGACTTTGATTTTTGATTCTGTAATAGTCTGTCTGCCATAGATTGAATAACCCGTCATAGATTTTGTTTTAAATATTCATCAAAGAAAAAAAAACTTTTTTTTTCTTATTATTAACCGTCAACTTCGGTCGAGTTTGTTAAGCTAACTACAATTTTGGTAATAGAAATTATAAAATAATTCATTAACTATACAACAATTAAGAGAAACAATAATAAAGAGAAAAATTAAAGGATATAAGTTCCAAAAAATTTTGAAAATCAAAATTTCAGCCATTTTCATAAAAAATCCTAAAGTGCAAAATCTTAAAAATGGTTAAGTTTGGCATAGGATATTTCATAGTAAGAAGACCGCCGTTGGGGCGGATGGGATACCGGCCCGAGTGCTGGCCCTAGCCCTTCACCACATGGCAGACCGCCTCAGGGAGGTGTTCGACGCTAGCTAGCGGCCTGCCGATCGTATTGCTGGACGAGCCGGGTAAATTGTTTGAGAGAATTCTCTCTGGCCGCATCGTCCGGCACCTTTGCGAGATGGGCCCCGATCTGTCGGACGCCCAATTCGGTTTTCGAGCGGGTCGTTCAACGGTCGACGCGTCGATGTGTCGTGCCTCAGGACCGAGGCTAAAGAGGCGGTGAGCCGTGGTGGCGTGCTGTTGGCGGTGTCGTTGGACATCGCCAACGCATTCAACAGTCTGCCATTCAGCTGCATAAGGGAAGCACTCCACTACTATGGGGTGTTCCGCAGGGGTCTGTTCGCGGACCACTCCTCTGGAACATACCGAGGTACCTGCACTCGGTCGCTAGGAGGGAATTGAGTTCCGCCTTTCTCCTCCACCCGCCATAACGGTCAGCCGGCCCGGATCCCTTCTATTACAGGCGCAGAGTGGTACACCGTGTGGTTTTCATTTCGAAACACCACACCGCACCACAAACCCGGGGTTCCACACGTAAAAAAAAGGGTATTTTATAGTAAATCCATCAGAAATTATATTAACAACAACCCCTAAAAGTATATAGGTGGACTTACCCGTGAACCGTATATATAATTTAAATATAGGTGTTTAACCCCCCTGATTGTAACACCTACGATTCTTATTATGTAAAAAAAATTCAGCCCCCTTTCTTATATACAAGGAGATGCTCATCGAATTAGAAGATTCATTAGCTCATGGATTTTAAGTAAACCACTTAATTTAAGGTTGATTAGTATTTCAAGTATTTTAATGTAATAAGTATACAAAGAACTAAAATGTGAACAAAATTTGGTCACAAAGCAATAATTAACATAATGTTAATCACGATCTCTCAAAACTATGTTTGTTATCTCCTTTTGGGATGTTTCAGTAGATACGATTTTTCTGTTTTGTTCAACGATGTGAAATAAAAATTGCTTTTCTTCCTCAATCTTATTGAGTATCGTGTTTTAAACTTCAAGTAGTTTAACACTTCTCTCCGCTGTATCATTAACAACACGCAAATTTTTGACGCAGTTTTTTCCTTGAAGGTAATTGCAAGAAGAGTCCTTGATTTCAAGAACTGAGAGTTTTCAACGTTCTTTGTGATGCAAAAGCTTCTAATGTAACCTCTGAGGCAAGCTCAACAGAATCACCCCGTACTGAAAGATTACCGCCATCAGAATTTATTTTTGAACAATGGCCTGTTTCTCACCATCAGACAGCTTGTCAGAAAACAAGGCAAATGCAACTAGTTCATCTGACAAATACCATAAGTGACGCTCTAAGACACCCCTAGCTGCTATACCGATTTTGGAATCAATGGCTTCGTACAATTTTAAGCTCATTTAAAGTCATTTACTGGTGCATCTGCTGCCAAAAGCGCTTCCAATTTAAAAAATTAAAAACCTAAAAATCGAAAAATAAACAGAATTATTTATATTATTAAAAAATGTGAGACTTTTTTAACAAATTAAATCAAAAACTTGACTTAGTAACTATAACTTACCTATTCTCAACAAAATTTTAATGAAAATATAATATAGTATTGCAGGTACACAGCGAAAGAAAATTCGTTCCGACCGGGGGTCCATAGACCCCTCACGCCGTTTTTCGTTTTGATTTATATATTAAAAGAGATTGCGGTGAAGAGTCTAAAACGTTTCTAGTTTTTAAGTTTATAGATTAGTAGGCATACTCAAATAAAACTTAAATACATTGCAAAAGTGCACATAAAAAACTACTTATCCACGTTTCAACACTGGCACGATGACGAACAGAAAAACTTAGTCAATAAAATTTTCGCAGATCACTGGAAAGCTAAAGTGGAGAGTTACCGCGACTGGTTCTTGCAACAAGAGGAAGTCCGCTCCGATGAATCCAAGAGGTCTGACGGTACATCCAAGAATTCCTCTATTGTCTTTGGAATAGAGGGATCCTTCCGAAAACTAGAAGTCGATTAAAATAATAAACATAATAAAATTGGATGTCATTAGTTATATTGTTCTGAAATAAATAGTTATATTGTTATAGTAATAGTTATATATAATTATACTGTTCATTTTTTTTTTAATATTGTTGTTTTTGCATAATATATGAACCTTTATGTCGAGTATTACCATTTCTATTTATTTGTCCTTTCATAATGTTCCATAAGTTGATCGATAAAACTTGGGTGTCAGGAAAACCAAATAAAATGTCAGAAAACTTCTTTAAGTATGCCCAAAAGTGTTTTTCATTTTATTTAAAATCTATTTAAAAAGTATAGAATAGGTAAGTAGTGAATGTGATAGGTTCTTGCAATTCAACTTTCACCCAGTTTCCGACATTCGAATGTTTTAAGATTTCACACACATAATATTTAGAACACGTTAAAAACTAAAAAGATAACTAATTTCTATTTTGGATTTTTAAATAAAGGGGGAAAATAATATTGAATAATATAGACACAGAAATGCATGCCTGATATAATGATTTTTTGTTTTTTAAGTATCAAGAAATTTTTGTGTCAATAGAAGTAATGCATAGAAAGTTTACAATAATGCGAACGACTATTTATAGCAAATCACTGCAGTGTTTTGTAATGAATTCAAATTTCTCAAAATTTAAAACGAATCACTGTACAAACATAGCATGAAGGCGACAACATATTATGTTTTAAATCATATCAAAACTTATGATGATGACACGAGAGTACAACAAAAGACATGGGCTCCAATGTTTACAAATTAAGAAATATATAGGTTAGGTATCAGTAAGAGAGTCCTTTTAACCTTGGCCTGAAGACCAGAACTTCAATGAATATGATCTAACGCTACAGTTAAATAATCGATGGACGGTTACAATCCTTGCAAACTCGTAATATAAACTACACTAACTTTTTAAACTACCCGTTAGTTGCATGAGATTAAATAGGTAGAAGTACATTTTGCAAGATATTTCTTGTAAGAAAATATTGCGGCAAGAAACCTTAAGATATACTGATTAGTGAGTGGATCCCGGTGCTTATATGCTTTAAACTTTATCCCCGTCTCCACGAGCCCTTGAGGTGCAATTTGCAACCGAAAATTCAAGTAGGTATTTGTTATTAAATGCTTATAAAATGCTTAACTGCGTTCATTAATTTCGGTGATTATAACTTACGTAGAAATACATTTTTAAATACTGTTCAAAATGAGTCCCTTTGCCAATATGCGAGTTTGAGGATAAAAATGTTATCTTGTACAATTTAATTGTGCGTATCAATGTGGAGCCAAACCAACACTATCTTTGCATTTATTATCATGTTATTTTTGTCTAATCAATGAAGCCAGTGTAAGTTGAGCTATACGTTCCGTTTACATTTTATAATCTACGCGCTATTCAGTGCCACTACACGAAAGCGGTGTGCGGTGTGGCGCGGGCGCCGCCCGTCAGTCGTGTTTTGTTATCACAGGCGTGCGCGTGTCGCTCAGAGCGCATTGTGTATTTTTGATATGAACCTATCCACCTTTCGCGGTCGTTCATTTAAGTGTGTGTTTCCCGACAGAGCACCATGACACAGGAGGAGTTTTGCACAAGGCTCGATCACGAGTTGCACCTGTCTTCCGGAAATGCTTCCGACGAAGATGGTGTTATCATCAGGAAGGAGAGGGCTAGCGTGAAAGATATGATTCTACGCTTTGAAAAGACTAATAATCATAACTATAGTGCTTCAAGAGAGTCCTTATCAAAGTGCAGAGACCTGAACCTAGGAAGTTTGACAAGTGTAGTTAATCCTATTCAATCGCATTATCAACATCTGTATCCTGTTTCAAAGTCACAAGACAGAAATTCAAATGTTTCAGTGAATTCTATATTATCAAATGCTTCGGAACACAGTTTTGAATCTAGTTCTTCAGGTTTTATTTCGGATAGAAAGTCGGGAATAGACTTATTAGTACCTCATAGACCCGCTCCACCCCCTCCGTTAGAGTTTCGAGATAGTTATTCACCTGAGGACACATCACCTATTCCAGAGGAAAATGTTACACTCAGAGAGAGGCGGTTTTCTTTTGCTACGCCATCTACATCACCGGTGGTCACAAGGAGATTGCGACAACCACCTGTCATGAGAAAGAAGTCGACAGCGGGAAGCCAAGTTCATACTGGAGAAAGACATTGGTCTTATGGTGTTACGCAAAAAGATATAGAAAAGTTACTAAGACTTAAACGATCGGACCCATCTGATACCGAGGAGGACATTCCGGAGCAACAATCTTCTACTGATTCGTCAGAAAACGAAAGTAGTGAAGATTCGCGTTCAAATAGTGATAATGTTAGTGATGGGAAGGAGTATGTCATCAATGAAGATGATAATGCAGTGGAAACTTTGTCAACTGATCATTCTACAGACACTTTAATAAACGAAGAAGATAGTGATGTTCAGAGTGATAGAGGAGACAATGAGTCTGTCTCTTCAGGTGAATTTGGTGATCGTACTAATTATGACAATGTTAGTATTAAATCAATATCATCATTCGACATGGTTCCCTATCAGAAATATGACAGTATTACTGTGTCTTCGGATGAGTTTGGCTCTGAGGTGTGCCACGCGCCGGACGCAGAATTTCTTACTGTGAGTGCAGTGAACGAATGGTGTATTTCCAAGTCCACGGAACCGGTATTGCTACCGATAGAATCGAAAAAGGAGAAATATCGCAGGTGAGGTCACTTGATTTTATTCAAGATATCGAGAAAAATATTTGCGATATCGCAGCTCGGCTTTGTCATGATACGTTATCTTTTACCTGAGTGCTTATAGGTATTGCTAACGGGCCTTTGTTTTATTTTATCCATGATTCAGTACATCAATTATATTGGTAGTTGATATATTTATGGTCTTATATAAAGCGTTCAGATAAAAAATATAGAATGATACTGCACATAAACGCGCGAATGTTGTTACCGTATGAGGTTTCACCTTGATGTTTATTCATATGGTAGGTACGTATAAGTGGGCAGGTAGCTAATAATGTATACAGCCGTTTGTCAATACGTTATGCATAACCTATATATATTTTATCTGCATTGTCAGTTAATATGAAGCGTATGATATTTAAATAAAAAATATTACGCATTGGGTCAACTACATTATATCAAGTACATTGATTCCCAAGATGTCAGCAGCAAAAAAAAACATCACCACAAGTCAGTTATTTTTGTTTACGTTGTTTTAAACTTAATCTTTTAATAACGTAGAAGAGAGTTATTTTAGACCTTCAACCTTCAAGAAAAGGGCGTACTCCTTTCTAAAAGACCTGCAACGCGTTTTTGACTCCTGAGTTGAAGACGTTCATGGGCGGGGATGGTCACTTTCCATCATTTGACCTGTATGCTCGTCTGCCCCCTCTAACGTAAAAAAAATATTTCCTAAAATTACTAAAAGGTACGTTAGTAATCTTCAATACAGATTATTTTTAAACGTGATTCACGAGTATTTTGTTCAATAGTATATATGACAAGAAGACATAATTATATGTAAACATATTTAAATCGCACTTAACGTAGGTGGCAAGGACGTTTAGAGCTGTTGCTGCGTGAGGAGTATTTGGACAACATTATATATGAAGTTTCTAATGTGATACAAAGTAGTGCTATTTCTTAGCACGATTTGAAAATTGCAATAACTATTTCACATAGCCTTTAAATGTAGTATTCAAAGATAAGTCGAATAAATGAGAACTTATTAGCGATAATTATTATCTTTTTGGGTTATTCCATTATGGTGTCAATCACTCTCTTAATCACTGATCGGGGCTAAAAGTGCTCATCTAATACCTATGTATAACTAACTGGTCGCGAAATTAAAAAAAAAAGTATTGCAGAAAGTAATAAACTCATATGTAGGTACATACATGCATAACACACTCATAAAAGCAACAGTAAAAAAGATTGTTCAATTATTTCAATGAGGTGACTGGTTAAAGCCGAGCAGGGTGATGACCCTGATCGAAGAGGTTTTGACAGGGAAAAACTATCTTCCAGATGAGGTATTCCCAAAGTATTTTGGGCAAGAGACCCCTTTTTCAATATCAAAATTACTCGTTTATCGACTTGTTGAGTTTTCTAAAAGTACAACAATGATACTTTTAACTAAAATAGTATTCATTTTTATATAAAAGTTGGTATAAGTAACGCAACTTATACAGTATCTTGAAAGTTTCAAATTAATTTAAATAAAGTCTTGTGTTAATTAATAGGGGTCGATTTTTAGGCCTAGTTGACCGCCAAAATCAGCTATCGTTTATGTCGACCCTTGGGAATCCAATTTCGACCCTAGGGGTCGATATCGACCACTTTGGGAATCCCTGTTCTAGACGGAAAAAAAATGTAAAACAGTATCCAATCATGTTAACTGCGATGGATCAATTACACTGAATGCACATACTGATTAATCTATATGATATGTATTTAGAAACAATACATTAGTGTCTTACTAAGTAGTTTTTATCAATGCACATACACGCAATACTAATTATAGGATGTCAACTTATGTGTATTTAATTACACTTTACTAATCTGAAATAATAGAGTAATTGACTGTCTAGTAATTAGTATTTTATTATTAAACTTCGATCAACAGTTGTATGACGATATGCTCTTTGTATATCAGTATGACGTTGAACCTGACTGTTGTCAACACATCGTATTGTTGTTCTAGTTTGATATCTAAATAACTTTAAATAAAATGGACTCTCAGTTAAAATATAAGGAATTACATATATTTCTTTTGATATGCACCTGCTTTTTAATTTGACAGAAATCTTGCGGTTCATTCGCATATTTAACTATTAATGCAATTCATGTTCATTTATACTTGTTGCTCGTTATCATTGTAAACTTTGGCGGTCACGTCTGAATCGAACATAATTTTGCTCATCAAATATTTTTATGAAACGTAAGTATTTATAAAGAAGTAAAATATCTTTTTTCTATAGAAAAGAGGATTTAATGAGATGGATTTAGAGCATATTTAAAACGAATGCATAGCAATTTCGCACACATGTAGGTATGCGTTCATCTAGTATGTTTTGTGTGCATCTTATCAATTACCCATTATAAATTGTTATAAAATGACAAAATTCCTTTTCTACAGTCAATAGTTGTCCATTCGGGTGGGTTATGTTTACTAATAAACTAATTAAATATTGAATGTTATTTGAACACTTACCTCTTACGCTGTATAACAATAACTGTAAATCTTTCGCATATACATTTTATCCTATAGATTATGGTGCTGGTTTTGAACATTTCATATCAATTATTTTCTTTATTATTCTCGTTTTAAAATTAAATGAATGAAAGATCGAGATTGCATTACTTTTACACGTCTGTCCGTGTGGTGACGGAATAAGAATACGGAGTGTCACCACCATAATCCAGCCCGTGGCCATGGCTCTTACGACTAAGGGAAGGTAACGCAAAGGTACTGCAAAGAGAAGGAAAACTTAAAACTAACTTAAGTCTAGCAGTGAACTAGTAAAGGCTGATGCTTTTCGAAGATTTTTTCCAATCTGAGAGCTAGACAGTTAGTTTAGACATTAGTGCGTTAAAAAAAATCCATTTAAGTAACTTATGTATTTCTCAGAAGCCCAAATCCCTCTTCCTCCCAATAGGGAATATGCATGTATTTTTTTTCATTTTTTTAACGATTCTGCTAGTTATTACATTACTAAAAATTAATATAACACATCCGAAATATAAACCGTTAAGCAAAAAATAATTTATTAAAATCACTATCATTTTGGAACAATTTGAACACGTCCATTTTGGCGCGCTTTTTTTGTGACGTCAGATTACACTTTCGGACGAATACGATGTCAACAACGGAGTGAAGTTCACAAAGTTTCTGAAAGTTAAAAAAGTGAGTGATAAAAATTAACTTATTACCATGCAAAGCCAATAAAAACTTATTATAAATATTGTACCGTTCCTTTGTGCCCAAATAATATCAAAACTGCACCTGACAAAGTATATTCAGTCATTGTGTTGAGTCTTTCTACACGGGAATTTAATAATTTAACACTGAAAACGTATTAGTTATTAACTTAAAATGAAACAAATAATCACCAGAAACCAAATATTACAAATACACACAACTTGTTGACACTCTTGACAGTGTAGGTTGACGTCACGTGTTATTCAACCAATAGCGTTGCGTTTTAGAAATTTGCGAGGGAATCTTAAAAAAGCCAATTTTTGATGATTAAATTTCACTATTAAATTATAATAAATTTCAAAAATAATTGTATGGGTATCTTTTTCTAGCAATAAAAATTACAAATAAAAATATTTTGTCCATTTTGGTGTCACGTGCATATTCCCTATTCTGGAGGAGGATTCAAAGGACAGGAACGCACGTGTAACTCTAGAGTTGCAGGTGTTCATTGACAGCGATCGTTTGCCCTCCTATGCCTTAAAAAATAATTTTTAAAACACGTACCAGTACCTACCACCTACCTTATTATAGGTATAGTGATGTTTGTTGTCGAACGAAATGTTGTCGTTTTACGACCTCACTTAGGAAGTTAAAGTTTAAATTTGTTTGGAATTATTTTTTTGATTTATTGCAATACATTAGTGCTGCTCACTGCTCATACCTAACATAAACATATGCCTACTCTATAATATGATTTTTGCTATTTTTAGTACAGCATCATTGGTAGGGTTTCAATCCTAAGAGTATTTGTATGAGATCGGTTTTTTAACTATTATCAGTTAAACCACAACAATTTAACTAATTAATAATGATATACAGATAAAAAAGTATGGTACGTATAGTGATTTAGACACTGTTTTTCTTAAAATATTATGTACTAGGTACTTGCTCATTTTCCTCTTTGCAGCTATTGTTAACGTTGTAAATTACATGTTTCTCTGATAAAGTTTTAAATAAGTACAACATTCTATAGAGACTATAAAAATAACATACACCTATTATAATTTAAAGTACGTATTCTTATTGTTAATTGTGTTTTGTGTCGTTTATCATTACCACGATAGGATAGTCATCTATTTATAAAGCTAAGTATTTAAAAGCGTTTATTAGTTCTGATAAAGATAATATTGCAATGACCGCAATATGATTGGTAACTCTTTCAATATTTGAAGTTTATTATTTCGTAAACGACTCAATCCGAAAATAGTTGTTATTAAGGCCAATCTGATACTCTACAATGGGGGACATAACCTTTTTCCAAAATTATTTTACTACTTTGTCGACGTGGTGATCAAATAATTGTTATACAAATAAAAATTTACAGCTTTCTAGTACCAACTAAATAACAATAATATCTACCTATAAAACCGACTGTTCTTTCAAACTTAAACGGAAATAATAAAGCTTACAAAAAAAAATTGTCACGTTTCAAACTGCCCTAATACCGTGTGACATGTCACATATTACATTCGTATAATAAAATTCAGCTCGTTATTAGTTAAAAGCAAACGAAGACCAAAAAAATCGTAATAACCAATTACCTGATTCAAGATTAGAACAAGGATGGAAATAAATATAAGGTAAAACTTGTGTATTTTCTTTCCGCCAATTAACATTTGTGTGTTAAAGACTAAAATGTGAAGTGAAAGTTATAACAAACGAGAAAGGAAATACTTGAAAATATTAAAGAACTACATTTAAAAAATCTAATATTTCAAGATCT